AGAACATTCATGGTAGGTTCCCGCTTTCTGCCTCTATACGCTTCTGCAGTTCGACTGGGAGGGCGAACTGGGATATGAGTTCCATCAAGTGCTCCAATACAATCTTTAAATGGCCAATACTGATCATCATCACTCAAAACAGATCTTGTAAACTCACCTTCTTCTGGTTTTAGTGTATCCGCTGCAAACTTGAGGAGAACACTCAAAACATCATCAAGTTTCCTTTTCACTGTATCCAAAGACCGTTGATATCTTTCAGCTATAACCCGCATAGTTTTATCTTGACCAACCACCTCAAGAAACATGGCAACAGATTCCTCAATGTAGACATTTTCAGACTCTTGTAACCCATATCGCCTAGCCAGCATCTTACATAAACCATCAAATGTTATTTGGTTCATTCGAAGTATATCATAACATTGTTGGTCTGATCCTTGCATAAGCTATTGAACATGACGCCATCCTGCTCCTCTATCTGTTCTAAGACTATATCTCTCAGAAGTAAGCAAATCAAATAAACCCACTTCATCATCATCATCCAATATCCATTTTTTAGCCATCTGAAACAGAACTCATATGTATTAATACAAAACTTATGTTTAACAAAAGTAATCAAAGCAACAAATCTGAAACAGAACTCATATGTATTAATACAAAACTTATGTTTAACAAAAATAATCAAAGCAACAAACCGTAAACATCAAACGTCATATTTAAATTCCATAACCATCATCATAAAGCATCATCATATTTCACCGCAAACATCAAACCACAAATACAAGCTTATATCATTACTCAAAATATATAAAGCATCATCATATTTAACAAAAGTCATCGTTATTAACTCAAGCGATAGACAAAACAGAGAAACATAGAAACCAAAGTCATTCTCAAACCCATCAAACTTAACCGACAGACAAAACACGGAAACACAAACAAAAGCTATCATCAATCATAGAGATGTGTTCCTGTCCTATACTCTAAATAGCTAATCTTGTCTTCAACACTAGCAAACGCTACAAAACCCCTGCGGTTTGCTTCACTAGCTAGAAGATGATCCACAGCTGCTCGGTGAAACACAGACCACTTCCTTACTCCAGGCAATTCATTAAGCACCTCTACGACACGCTCAACACTACAAGCATACTCTTGCTCACAATTCTCTAACATCTTCTCTGATATCTTATTCTTCTGCGCCAGAATTGTATTGCGTGTAACAGCTGTCTCGATAACTATATCTTTCTCTCTACGCCTTCTCTTTGTCCTTGCATTTCCAGACTTAGCTTGTGTGTCAACATCTTGGGTTTGCGTCTCTGGCACATCTGTATCCACATAATCAACTTCATCCTCATCTCCTCCATCTCTTCGAGAATCTAAAGTAGCTTCTCCTTGTTGGGCGCTCCATCCTTCTGCTCCAGTCACAATAATCGCACCAAATTCTTCTTCATACACATCCATATTAGGAGGAGGCTTGTTTCTGTATTTCCTAGCATCAGGCCATTCCTTAAACAAAATAAAACAAAAAGGATTAGCCAAATTAATCGTAATAGTAAACCACAACACATCAAAGCATCAAACGAATACATAAAGGAATACAATAGACAACTTAACCAGGCAACTAAACCAGACACTAAACCAAAACCTATCACAGCAAGAAACACAAGCATCAAACACTAAAAGAGATGAGTGTCTATGAAGGAAACAGTAAAGAAAAAAAACTAAACCGAGCCATCATTAAATCGCTTATAGTGTGTCTTCAAAATCAGAGAATGGAGGCAAGTAAACTTTAAGAACGAGTGGTGTCAACTGTCAAGTAACCCTTAAACGAGTCAAGAAAATAATAAGATGAACCGCAACTCATCAAAGCAACAGCACTCATCAAACCCAACAAACCGATTGAAAATAATAAACCTCTACACATCAACGAGTCAAGTAAACTTTAATACCTGTATATGCTCCTCCCACCAATGATCAGGCATGTCCAATCTTTCCATAGCATCATATCCAAGTCCAGTTCGATTATGAGTTAACTTCTTGAATTTCATATATGATCTTCTGGCAGAATCAAGCTTATTCTTGAATTTATCCCATACGAGCGCTTTCCCAAATCTCTCCTCAAACTTTTTCATAATAAAGTCTTTGCCGGTTTGATTTAACCCAGATTTTGTTATGTTGCCTTTCATTTTCTCAGCCGCATAGAGATGAAAAAAGTACCGACATTCTTCATCGGTCCAATTCTAAAGGACAATTAATACATGTCATCCTAACCATACTACTTACATGTCATCCTAACCATATACAAAGAACAATTCTAAATAACTCGAAAATACTTACATCGATAGCCATGACTCTTGTCTATCTCTGATCGTTGTGGAGCAATCTCTCTCTAACAGCAGAAGCTAACAAGACACATCCAAGAGCTGAAAGTATGGAGCAACGAAACATAGATCAGCAAACAAAGAAAAGCAAAAATCAAAGAAAACAGTTTCATGTTATAACTTATATCTCTCGAACAACATTGTTTGCTGACATTACGCACATACTTACATATATAATCCGCACACTAATGAGACAATAAAAGCAAAGAAGAACTTTAAACAAGAGGTAATTCAGCATAAAACAGAGACGTAAGGCTGACAATGAATGAATTAAACTAAGTAAAAGATGCATAATCATTTACCAAACAAAAAATCTCATATAATCATTTAGCTTTTATTGATTCGACAAATGCAAAAAAAAGTTACAAAAGTGTACAAGAAAAATAAAAAAAATGGAGATGCAATCATAGTGGATAACTATAAACTAAATAATGATATCTATTTTATTCTTAACTATTATATAAAGATCCATTGGATGGATAAGAAAACTTGTTCTACCACTCAAACTCTGTTTTGGATGCACACGTATGTATACATGCATTCATGTATGAATCATGATGTTATGTTATGTAATACTCCATCACAATTATACGTACATGTGCATATGTAGTTACAATTATACGTACATATATACAACAACAATTAACAGAATTTTTTGTAAGTATTTAAGAGAGATATATAAAGAGACACCAAAGCAGTAACTACTTAATCAATACAAACCCAGACAGTTTGTATACTCGAAAGTGTACAAAGTAAAGATTGAAGAACATCTCTTCTCCACAGCACCAAGCATACACTTTCCTCAAACTGAATTTTAAAATTATCCTCCAAATTAAAAAAACCCACATCAATCGAACTGCTCTTGTCATTGTCCGCAAGTTCTAAGTAATCCACAATGAGATTCAGAGAAATGCATAAAACGAAGAACACGGACACACACAAACTTACTTATCAGAACAAAACACGCAGAGACACACACACAAATATGCATCAAGAGAAGTTGCAAAACCCACAACTCAGAGAAATCAAGAGCAATAAAACGAAATCAGATTGATGAATCGAAGTCTAAACACAAAACCCACATCACTGAAACAAAAACAGATTGATAAATCAAATGCAAAACACAAAACACAAAATCAAAGGTAAGCAATTCAAAACGAGATAATTAAAACACAAAGGAATCGAGAAGGAAGATGGGCGAAGAGAAGAGAAGAGAAGAAAAGAGATCGGCGAACAGGTTCAAACCTGAGAAGAAAATCGGCCAAGAGAAGAAGATCGGATAAGAGAAGATGGGATATTGGTTTTTTAGGTAAAGTGGCATTCTGCTAATTAATGAAATTTATGCTAATTAATGAAATTTAACAAGGTTATTTTAGTCTTTTACAAGTTTAGTCGCGAATTTTTGAAACGCAACGCTGAATTTCATCTGTGACCAAAAAAAATAAACGTGAGACGCAGCTTCTGGTCGCTGCGATTAGCCGCAGAAGGTGCGTCATGTAAACGAATAGTTTTTGATCGCATATCACAATCGCAGCCTCCTGCGACAGGCAAACGAACAGCCTACTACAAAAGAACAAACGATTTTGGTCTTTATTTTGGTCATAGGAACCTATGAACATCTATAATTTCCAAAGACGTGATTCAAGCATCTCTTTAGGATGTTCATGAACTCCATGCTCTTGGTTTTGTCTACTGTATAATTTTGGCTGAAGGATTGATAAATTCATCATCAGAGAAGACATTTTTCACTATGGTTGGAAATTTTTCATCTCTTTGTGATACCTGCTTTATCGAGCTTGCGTTTACGTAGAATCATATCAATTAATAAATTTATATTATAAGAATATGATTCCATCGAATGTTTTTTGTTGTGTGTGTAAATTTGATTAATTCAATACATTTGAATTATTCATACATTTCCAAATTAATGAAATGATGTTACAAAAAAATACAGAAGTCCAAAGATGGGCTTATTAATATGATTTCAGGCGGCCCAATAGTGTATCAAAGGCCCATGTAACTAGATCAATCTAGCTAGGGTTTAGTACTCTTCATTTCATTTTTCTTCTTTCCTCATATAAAAATCTCCAGCCGCCTCGAATCCAGAATAGGGCTTCCGCTGCTTCACCTTTCAGGTTCGTCTCTCTCTGACCTCGTGACTTCTCCTTTCGTCTTCGTCGTTTATTGTGTCAACTGTGATTTCCTGAGATTATTATATGAAAGTATTCGATTTCAGCTGCTAGATCATAGTGGCAAATGAAATTTTTAGCTCTAAATTGAAACAAAACTTCTCAGACATTTTTCATCCAATTCATCGTTTTTGTTTGTTTTCTGGTTTCCAGGTTCAGAGATTCGTCAACTAAGAGAAACTCGAGATGAGGTACGTGAAACATCTCCCAATTTCCATATGAATTTCCATTGACATTGCTTTATTGCGTTTACTATGTTGATACGCAACTAAGATTGATGGCTTAGAGAATAATGATAGTTGTCTTATTGTTTAATGGATCATAGAAATTGATGCTGCTTTTGATCCACATGGTCGAATTGATTACTGTTGTACATTGCTTTGTCTTGGTTTGTTGATCTAATTTTGCGAAATGGTATTTGTGATTATACAGTAAGCTTCAGAGTGAGGCTCTTAGAGAAGCCATCACAACGGTGAAGGGCAAATCTGAGGAGAAGAAGCGCAACTTTGTGGAGACAGTGGAGCTTCAGATTGGGCTGAAGAACTATGACCCACAAAAGGACAAGCGTTTCAGTGGTTCCGTCAAGCTCCCACACATTCCTCGCCCGAAGATGAAGATCTGTATGCTTGGAGATGCCCAGCATGTTGAAGAGGTGATTTATCAATCTCTCTAAAATTGGTTGTTCTTGAAATGTTGTTGCTTGGGTTTATATTCAGAGCTTGATACAAAGTGTTTTTCTTTTTGTTAGGCTGAGAAAATGGGACTAGACAATATGGATGTTGAGGCTTTGAAGAAGCTCAACAAGAACAAGAAGCTTGTGAAGAAGCTTGCCAAGAAGTACCATGCTTTCTTGGCTTCTGAGTCTGTCATTAAGCAGATTCCTCGTCTTCTTGGTCCTGGTCTTAACAAGGCAGGCAAGTTTCTTCGATAATTCAAGTCAAGTCTGTTCAGTTCTTTGTGTCGAACAATTGGATATACTAGAGATTGAATTAGTCTCGATGTGGTTTGGGTTATCTTGTCTGAACTTTGGTGTTTGATTCACAGGAAAGTTCCCAACTCTAGTGAGTCACCAAGAGTCGTTGGAATCGAAGGTGAATGAGACTAAAGCGACAGTGAAGTTCCAGTTGAAGAAGGTTCTTTGCATGGGTGTTGCTGTTGGTAACCTCTCAATGGAAGAGAAGCAGCTTTTTCAGAATGTGCAGATGAGTGTCAACTTCCTTGTCTCCCTCTTGAAGAAGAATTGGCAAAACGTAAATGATCACGTCTTCTTCTTATGAAATTTGTCTTTGATCACTCATCTCTTGATCATTTCTAATCTCCTTTTTATTTGAATCTTATGCAGGTAAGGTGTTTGTACTTGAAGAGCACCATGGGACCACCACAAAGGATCTTTTGAGCTATCTTCTCTACTTCATTTCGAATTTTGCTTTGTGTTTTTGTTTCAGAGATCTTGTGCTTCTTGAGTTATGGTTTGGATTGATATTTGCAGAACTCGAAGTGGTAGTTTACTTTTTGGTAGACAATATATGCAATGTTTGTTTCTACAATATTTACCGTCGAATTCAGTTTTATCTTACCCATTATAGCAGTGAAACACTTCAACTATTTTGAAAATATTATTTCAAAACACACAAAGTTTATGTCATTTTCGCCAAATAAAAATCCCAATCCAAAACATTTACAAACCCTCTCTCATTAGTGCCTAAATTATAACAGAACCTGTATTTATTTGGGAAAACGATTATTTAAATGCTCAAACTTTGACTTATTGTTTGGTCTATCTAAAGAATAATCCGTTCTGTTAACTTACGACACGAACCTTATGTTCTGTTAACTTACGTGAACCTTATGTTGACTAAATCAAATTAGATACGACGTTAAATTGCTAAACGGATTGATTAAACTCCTTTAAACCCCGTTTGATTATCTGTTAGAGAGAAAACGACATCGTTTTCAAAACACGAAACTCCCAAATTCATAAAATCCTCAATTCGACTAAACCCCAAATCAATCTCCAATTCTCGAATCCTAACATCTAAAATCGTCATATTTTTCTCCAAATCCCACAAATCATTGATCCATAACTCGAAATCACCACTAGCCCTTATCGATTTCTCCGAATTGAAATGCCGCCAAAAGGGAAACGAAAAAAGATTTCGAAACACAAAGGAAAAAACCAGCAGTTGAAGCAGAAGCAGCAGTAGAACCTACAGTTGAAGCAGAAGCAGCAGTAGAACCAGCAATTGAAGCAGAACCTGAAGCAGAGCTTGGTGTTGGAGGTGGTGATTATGAAGCTCAGAGTGGGCTTGCAATTGCAGAAGAAGATGATTGTGCGGTTGCTGGTGATGAAGATTGCGATGAGATTAGTGACGGAGGTGATGAGAACAATACCAACTAGTTTAAAGCAATTTTAGAAGAAGAAGGCTGTTGCGACTTAGCTGAATACTTTGGAGATACGGCGAGAGATGAAGAAGCTGCGACTGATGCGGACAGTGGAGATGATATTTGGGACGATGAGAAGATTCCAGATCCTTTGTCATCTGACTCTGGAGATGACGACGACAATGGTGAAAAGGAAAAAGAAAGACGTAGAGAGAGGGTGTAATGACCCTTATAAGTGATGCGGATGGCTGGTCACAAGTAGGATAGTCAGCGACATGTCGGAGTAAGAGTTGTCTCGTGGCTATTTCGTCCTTATAGATCCAAAGTGTTTTTTTCGTCTTTATAGATTATTGGATGAGAACAAATCTGGTCAAGCTATTTCGTCTTTATTGATTAGCAGATAAGTATGAACCTGGCCAGCAGCTATTTCGTCTTTATGGATGAAGAGATAAGCATGGACTGTTGTTTCATCTCCATTGATTCGTGGATAAGCATGGACTGATGTTTCATTTTTATAGATGAATGGATAAGCACGAAGCTGGCCAGTGAGCTATTCTGTCTTTATAGATGAGTGGATAGGATAGGATAGGATCAAGAGTGGATAGGATAGGATAGGATCAAAGGTGGATAGGACCGGTGACTGACCTATGTGCTAGGTAGCTTACTTAACCCCTATAAATACCCCATCACGTTACCATTTAGAACACACACCAAAAACGACCTAGATAGAGAAAGGAGAGAAAGAAAGAGAGAAGAGAAAGGGCGTTCAGGTATAAGGAGAACCGGAGGTGAGGAGGCAAAGCTAGGACCCATCTGTGGTAGTGAAGTCTAGTCTATAAACCGTTCATCCGAAAGCACTGTGAGTTGTGGTGATGTGTGATTGTTTGCTAGGATTCATTTGTTAGATTTCGTGATGTTTCTACTATATGCTTATTCGATTATAGTTGCATGAGTTGTTGTAGTCTTTGGTTAAGTTATTCTTTTATATTTGAGGTTCTAGGACAATTTAGCTAAATGTTATGGTGATTGGTGATGAGTTGTGATGACGGTTTGATCCTACCTCATTACCTCATTTTTAGCCGATGGACTGGCTAAATGAGAAGACTCGGAGAGACGGGATTGCAGCCTAGGGCCGAGTTCTATCCGACGGGATAGTCAGGTGTTTGCCGTAGATAGTAGATAGTCGGAGCCTGCCGAGTCTGTGCGGTCGAAAGACGGGACTCGGGTTTGTGAAGTTCTATCTCATGTGCCTTTGTGGTTATGAGATAGGTGTTCACAAAAGGGACAAGATCAAATACGCTAGGCCTCTGGTGATGGTGTGGTGACATTGTGATTGTTTAATAACGCATACTTTGTGTGATTTGCGTGTTGTGTGTTATTTTGGGTTTTGGGTTAGGAATTATTATATCTGTTAGGGGAGCCATAACTCACTGAGCGATTAGCGCTCACCCCTTACTCTCTTTTGCAGGAAACCAGTAGACAGTAAACCTGGTAGTGGGAAGCAAGGGACGTTAGGCCGCTAGTGTAGGTTTTGTTGCCTTTGTAAAATAAACGTTTGATGCATGTTGTATAATCGTTTGGGCATTAGGCCGAAGTATGAAAGTTTGTGAAATGTTTTGTGAAACCTTTATATATGAATAAATAAAGTTTATTTTTATATTGATCGGTTTCATCTGATACTAGCCTTGTCCGGGCTAACACAACTCTCGGCTTAGGTACGGGTTGGCAAGCCTTAGGCTTTGGCCGAGAGGGATCGAATTTTTCAGATGGACTGGCTGCGACTTTGGATTCGTTCTAAGGTCTTGGCTGGATCGTCTGTGATGTTTGATCTTGTAGCATCTTCGGTCTGGTTTATGTCGGATGGTTGGACGTGCATGTTCTTGTTTGATTGTTGCGCGGCCGATCGGTTCAAATCCGGCTTAGATCATGTCAGGGGTGTTACAAATGGTGGTATCAGAGCATGGTTCATGATCATGCTATATTGGGACTTGGTTTTCAAATGTTTTATCGAGTCAAAACGTGTCGCAAAGGCAACTAGGAAAACTGGCATGTTCCTTGCATTTTAGGTAGAATGTTAGGACTTACCCTTGGCAGGTTAGGTTGGCGCCGCCACAGAAGCATTAAGCAACAATCAGATGAGAGTATTCCTTAGGTATAGAAAAACCCAAACCTTCACGACCTTTTTAAGGTCCCAGAACAGGTAAGTATGGGTGCTAACTCTCTTAAATGATTGATTGCATGATTCCTTGCATGGTATTGTATTGAGTGAGGATTTGGTTAGGATATCCCTCGATCCTTTCTTAGAAACCATAGGAATCTACCTTTTAGTATTTAAGAAACCGTTCGACCTAACTTTGAGAATTCGGGACGAATTCTTTTAAGGGGGAAAGAATGTAATGACCCTTATAAGTGATGCGGATGGCTGGTCACAAGTAGGATAGTCAGCAACCTGTCAGAGTAAGAGTTGTCACGTGGCTATTTCGTCCTTATAGATCCAAAGTGTTTTTTTCGTCTTTATAGATTATTGGATGAGAACGAATCTGGTCAAGCTATTTCGTCTTTATTGATTAGCGAATAAGTATGAACCTGGCCAGCAGCTATTTCGTCTTTATGGATGAAGAGATAAGCATGGACTGCTGTTTCATCTCCATTGATTCGTGGATAAGCATGGACTGTTGTTTCGTCTTTATAGATGAATGGATAAGCACGAAGCTGGCCAGTGAGCTATTCTGTCTTTATAGATGAGTGGATAGGATAGGATAGGATCAAGAGTGGATAGGATAGGATAGGATCAAAGGTGGATAGGACCGGTGACTGACCTATGTGCTAGGTAGCTTACTTAACCCCTATAAATACCCCATCACGTTGCCATTTAGAACACACACCAAAAACGACCTAGATAGAGAAAGGAGAGAAAGAAAGAGAGAAGAGAAAGGGCGTTCAGGTATAAGGAGAACCGGAGGTGAGGAGGCAAAGCTAGGACCCATCTGTGGTAGTGAAGTCTAGTCTATAAACCGTTCATCCGAAAGCACTGTGAGTTGTGGTGATGTGTGATTGTTTGCTAGGATTCATTTGTTAGATTTCGTGATGTTTTTACTATATGCTTATTCGATTATAGTTGCATGAGTTGTTGTAGTCTTTGGTTAAGTTATTCTTTTATATTTGAGGTTCTAGAACAATTTAGCTAAATGTTATGGTGATTGGTGATGAGTTGTGATGACGGTTTGATCCTACCTCATTACCTCATTTTTAGCCGATGGACTGGCTAAATGAGAAGACTCGGAGAGATGGGATTGCAGCCTAGGGCCGAGTTCTATCCGACGGGATAGTCAGGTGTTTGCCGTAGATAGTCGGAGCCTGCCGAGTCTGTGCGGTCGAAAGACGGGACTCGGGTTTGTGAAGTTCTATCTCATGTGCCTTTGTGGTTATGAGATAGGTGTTCACGAGAGGGACAGGATCAAATACGCTAGGCCTTTGGTGATGGTGTGGTGACATTGTGATTGTTTAGTCACGCATACTTTGTGTGATTTGCGTGTTGTGTGTTATTTTGGGTTTTGGGTTGGGAATTATTATATCTGTTAGGGGAGCCATAACTCATTGAGCGATTAGTGCTCACCCCTTACTCTCTTTTGCAGGAAACCAGTAGACAGTAAACCTGGTAGTGGGAAGCAAGGGACGTTAGGCCGCTAGTGTAGGTTTTGTTGCCTTTGTAAAATAAACGTTTGATGCATGTTGTATAATCGTTTGGGCATTAGGCCGAAGTATGAAAGTTTGTGAAATGTTTTGTGAAACCTTTATATATGAATAAATAAAGTTTATTTTTATATTGACCGGTTTCATCTGATACTAGTCTTGTCCGGGCTAACACAACTCTCGGCTTAGGTACGGGTTGGCAAGCCTTAGGCTTTGGCCGAGAGGGATCAAATTTTTCAGATGGACTGGCTGCGACTTTGGATTCGTTCTAAGGTCTTGGCTGGATCGTCTGTGATGTTCGATCTTGTAGCATCTTCGGTC